TGTACAGCGTATGTATGTTGCGGCTCGTTACCCTGGCAAGGATACGTAGAGGGCACGTTGACGATGTGTTGTGTTGGTGATATTTTGTTGGTTTCTCCTAATGATGAACTTTGGTGAGACTTATCTGCGGCCGCGGGTCGATATACAATGCCTGATTAATTATTAATTGCTCGTGTCTCTTTTTAATCATCTGCCATTTGTCAAATACAGCTGTACAAAGGTGTGTAGACATTATAGGGTATTATGCTCTGAAAAACCCCGTGCCGGGCAAGCAGTGACAGCAGGTTATTTTTTAAAAGTCTGTCTGTTTCTTGCTCTAGCAAAAGTCGTAATAGGGGGCATATTACGCGTGCTGTAAGCTATTATATGCGCAAGGTCAGCGTCTATGGAAAAATGTGGGAAAAATACTAGAACTCGTGTTATTAGATGTTGTTTGGTTAGTAATTCCAGCATTAAGTTTTATGTCTTTCTTGTATTGTAAGTTTCTGCTTTTTATTTCTCGCTGCTGTCACAGCATACGTATAAACCATAATTATTATGATTCTGTAATAAATAATGGAAATTTGCCTGACATAGTTCACGTGTACAGCGTCTTTAGCTCTTCTCATGAATGACAGGTGTAGATTGTAGAACGGCATGAGTGTCTGTCCGTCCGTCCACCGTCATCAATATTGGGACAAGTCTAGATGTGTCAGGGTTACAGAAGCCATCATCCTAGCAAAATTAGAGGTCACAGGTCAAAGGGCAGTTGAGAAAAGGGCAGTTAAACAAAGGAGCTGCTTCAGAATATTTCAGACATGGTGAAAATAGGGTGACATTTTTTTGGAACCTGTAAAATGGTGACCTACCGTTTTCATAATTGGAATGTCCATAAAATATAATTTCCACTCACATGGCGAGTAGCTGTGCAGTAAAATTTTGACCGTCAAGAGGGTTGAATATTGATTTGTTTACTCTTGACTAAGAACTGAAATGCTTTGACTAGGCATGATAGGGGAGCCTCTATACCTGTATGGGTGTGAAAGGCTACAATTTCACAGTTAAATTTCTTAATTGAAGAAAATTTTAAGTTAATCAACGAGATTTAATACTTTAGGAGATGTAATAAATTCCATACCTCAGAACCTGTACTATAGATATCATCATACAGCACCCAACTGTGCCCTGTTTTGCAATCATGCATGCGCATTAATTCTCACCAGCTGCGTTTGCATCGTGGTCGACATTTACAGCACATTCACGTTACGCATCACCTGCAATTCTCAGATGAGCCTTGCTGCTCTGCAGCACTTTGGTAATCTGCGGTACATTTGCGATTCCGGCTGCTGGCTCCGGACAGCTGTACGACGAGCATTGATTACACAGAGCGGGTCTAGGGATGTGACGAGTACACTAACGTTACTAACAAGACTTAGTACTACTCAAATGTGTTGATTCAAATTTAAGTAGGGAGAACTTCCCGTAGTACAGGTAATTCAGGAAGGTCAACCAGTCATTTAATATTATTGTCACTAAACCTAGCATAAACACATGCACAAACTGACAACGCAGTAAGCAACGTCATTTGTATCTAGCTTCACTTCTCAAAACTTTATTCTAGTTAGACATGTTAACAAAATACAACTGATATTATTTGCCATGCTCACTTGTCACACAGACGAGTGACAACCAAAAACAGAAACTGAAGTCAGTAACATGAACATCGATTTAGTTTGAGGAAAATTGATTGACGGCCGAGTGACACAGTTTGTACAACCAGGATTGCTATCTAGATATAAAACACTAGCATAGAGAGAGAACCCACAGCCTGTTCGCCACGGACATGATAGCAATGTAGAGCACTCCTTCCACGTTTAAATAGTTTTCTAATCCCCGGGTAGAAGAAATCTGCGCGCGTTATTATAGCTTGTCGAGGTAATTTGCGAGGTCGGGGATGCCTTCCTTCAAGCCCTTCCGTTTCCTCGAGTCGTTGACAACCGTGCGTGGCTTTGAGCCCTCTTCGAATGGATCTCCGGGAAGGATCTGCCAGGAATCGAACACGCACTGTGGGAACGTCTGTCCTCCGGTGTTTAATCGCAGGTCCGCCGTGAACCCTACACGCCGATGAAAAAAATGACAACGCACTGAGACAGGGATGTTGACAAGGTTGATGCACCCTCAAAATGACGGCCGCATGCGATATGCATGGTTAGGATTTCACCGAGTGCACTCCTCACCACGGTGTCTCAAAAATGCACGGAAATTTACGACAACAGAGCGTCACAGACGCTTCTTCGCCACTACCATAAACTCCACATTGTGTATGTATTCCCACAGGTCCCACAACGTAATTACTCGATAAAAAGCAAGTTGCCTTTGTACGTCCCAGCTCTTAGGAGAAAGGTTTTCCCCTTTACACTACTTCCAACTCGTCCCAATGCCCCAACATCCGCATAAACCCACTCATACCTCGCGCTTTCCAACCCCCCGTGTCAGCGACTGTGAAAAGTGCATACCAAATGACTCCATGACGAGCAGGTACGCCTTCACGACAAACATCGGGGTGCCTGGCACCTGTCCCTCCTCAATGACGTGGCCACGCCGTCTGTTCAACACTCCGTAGATGCCGCCGATAGCTGACTGAGAGAGCCGGAGATTTTAGTAATAACGCCCGCAATCACTGCAGTCTCATCGTTTCTATAGTTTATTGATATATATATAATAATAGCAAATTATTCGGGTACAATGGACCGGGTTCCTGATGCGAGCGCACCGGCCGGGACCCGCAAATCTGCTACAATTTACCCGATGTTCGCAGATATATACCGGTGTCGTAAACTTTAAAATAATCAGTCTTCATATATAGGTTCCTCAAGACAAGACGTTTAAACACAGCTCCATGGATCTATAATGTGTAATCATTAGAAATACGTTTGGTAATCACTGCTTGGATAACCCAGAGACCCTAATCTCGCCCCACGTCTAGTAACTAACCCAGTGGAACTACACCCCATATTGTCTACCCAGGCCAAACTTCACATCTCACTTGAATTTCGACTAGGTAGACGGGCTCTATCATTCGAGGCTGCGCGGTGAGTTGTTAAATAACTACGGATTCGTGCTCTATGCTCCGCTCGAAACTTTTGCCAGCCAGCTCTATGATGCGAATTTCGACAGAGTAGTCGGATCCCGTTTCGTACACAAAAATGGCCGACCGGCGACCATATGGCTACGCCATGCACTAGCTGGAATGGCACAATTACACAACACGAATAATTTTACTTCTAATGCTTTCTAGACGTCCACGAGGCATCTACCTTGCGTGCATAATGCAAATTATTGCACTCTAGTGCCGAATTTCGGCGAAAAAAAACAAGGCCAAAAAAGGCCTTTTCTATGGAGACGAAATAGTGCAACGGTGAAGGTGTTGCTATACAGTAGACGCCGTCCATAGGCTGCAGGCCTGAATAAGCATCGAACAGATATTAATTAAAAATACTCGCACTGTTACTGCACTTACAAAACATACACTTTATTCATGTTAAATAACTACAGATTCATGCTCTATGCTCCCCTCGAAACTCCTGCCAGCTCTATGATGCGAATTTC